TGTATAATCTTGAACAAATCTCATTTCTCTGTGACAGAGGTATTTCTTTGTAAAATGAGTAAATCACATCAGAAAGTTGGCAGGGCCCTTTGTAGCTCTGAAAATCCTATGATTCCACAGTAGTCTGGCTTGCTAATCAGTGTCTAGAAAGCAGCCATCACATCCTTAACTCGTATTGTCTCTGAGTCCAAACTCTGAACTTGGTTATGCTTAAAGAACAGCTAGATAAGCTCACTCTTCATCAGTCAATTAATTTTGACCTTCAACCTAAGTATTTCACTTTCCCCTACCTCCAAAGAAGACGGAGTTAGTGAGATGTCACCCTCAAAGCCAAATTCTCCTACTTCTGTGTTCCGTGAAAGAAGCCAATGCTCAGCTTATTGTTTCTAAGAATCTTCCTCCGGGTCTAACCCAATCCATCTGAATTTGCTCAAGGCTGGCTGCTGTGAGAACCATCCAACCAAAGGCTGGATATGACTTTCATTGCTGAAGGTCAAAGGCCCTTGTTTTCAGAAGAGAACACCCTGTGGATGAGAAGGATTGAAAAAAGTGAAAGAGAAAGAATAGCAATACAACTGGAAAGAATTAAGCAGAGTCTTACAATATTGGAATGCAGATTGTGTTGGGGAAAAATGGAAAATTTCCAGTTTTCTACACTTGAACCTAAACCCCCTACAGTGTCAGGAAATCAGAAACTTAAACTGTCACAAGAACTATAATGGGCTGTAAAGAAAGCCTACACTACTTATCAAGGAGAAAGCCCTGCTGGCTGCCAATTCCTTAAAAGGAGTGTGGTTTTAGAGTCACAAAGTTTTGCATGAGACATTAAAACAAAACACTCCTAGTGGGTCAAATACATCATTTTCTTATGGGTTAAAAACCAAACTTTATCACCATCTAGCCTTACCATGTGCAGAGGAGCTGCCTACCTCCAGAAAGGATTAGGTGGGGCACCAGATGGACAGAAGGAGCACAAGTCATTACCAGAGAAGCAGAACTGCGAGAGAACACATGTGATGCCTCCACCATCAGATCTGACACAAGAGCCCCTACTATTTCAGCTGAAGTTAGAGACAATCCTGAAAGGCTAAGAAAAACAATGTTTTTGAAACTCAAGCCTAAAATTTCTCGTGACATCCTGAACTTCAGAGGAGAGCACGCATTATGAGGAGTCAGCCAGAAGCAGTCACTGCATGCGAGCTGGAACCCTGCCGCAGGAACTCATAGTCACTCTCAGACCAGCGAGAGTGACACAGAAGCTTCTGGCTCTGCGATTTGCCTTGGCCACTCTCACCTCCAGGCCTGCCTTTCCCTGCCTTTCTCTTCCTGGAGGTACGAGGCAGTGCTTTCAAAGGATAGCCTAGGATTACTTCAGAATAGGGCTGAAGAGCCAGGCATGGTGGCGCATGCCTGTAATCCCAGCACTCGGGAGGCTGAGGCAGGGAATCACTGTGAGTTTGAGACCAGCCTGAGCTACATAGTGAGTTCCAGGTCAGTCTCAACTACCTAGTGAGACCCTGTCTCAAAAAACCAAAA